TCGGAGCAGCTCCGCATTCTGCCCACGCAGCTGCGGGCTTGCCAGCGCTCCGGTGCACCGCGCCGCAGGCAGCCCCGCAGCAGAGGGGTGCCTGGACACTGACCCCATCCTCACCAAGGGCTGGCCGGGGGTGGGTCGGGCATCGCTGCGGCCGTTGGATGCTGTAAGTCAGATGGTGCCAGTGAGATTTTTTTTTTTTTTTTTCCCCTGCTTTAATGGCACACTCACGTTGCATCTTTGTCCCATCCTCACAGAGGGCAGCTGGACGTCATGGCCTGGTAAAGGCCATGTGAGTTCTGGGTCTTCAGTTGCTTTTTGAGTGTTTTTCTGCAGCCTAAAGGGAGCCAGCCTAGGAGATGGAGGGGACTGAAGGTGATGCTGCTGTCTGCACTGGTGGTCTGCTCCAGGGCCAGCTCCTGCACCTCTCCAGCAGCACAGGCCACCACTGAACGTGGGCACCAAGCCTGTCCCCAGTGCCACAGTCGCTGTCCTGGCATTTGACAGTGCACAGACACCCATCAGCTGGGTGGATCAGCTTTACCGTGGGGAAGAGGCATGTGGGGTCGGCCAGCTGCTGGGGTGGAGCAGGGCCTGGGACCACCAGCCCTCCCCGTGCCCGGTGGGTAGGAGCTGTGCATTTTCCCTCCCAGGGGCAACCATGGGCAAGCACAGCAGCAAGCTGGCCCCGGAGATGCTGGATGACCTGGTGAGGAGCACGGAGTTCAGCGAGCAGGAGCTGAAGCAGTGGTACAAGGGCTTCCTCAAGGACTGTCCCACCGGCATCCTCAACCTGGAGGAGTTCCAGCAGCTCTACATCAAGGTGGGCTCCAGCCGGGGGCCCGAGTGCTGCCTGTGGGGCTGGAGCACCCTGTTCCTGCCGGGGCAAGGGTGCTGCTTTGGGTGCAGCCTCTGCGCCCAGCTCCCCTTCCCTGTTTCAATCTCTCTCTTTTCTCTCCTCCCTGCAGTTCTTCCCCTATGGAGACGCCTCCAAGTTTGCCCAGCACGCCTTCCGCACCTTTGACAAGAATGGTGATGGGACCATTGACTTCAGGGAGTTCATCTGTGCCCTGTCTGTCACCTCCAGGGGCACCTTTGAGCAGAAACTCAACTGGGCCTTTGAGATGTACGACCTGGATGGGGATGGGAAGATCACACGCTTGGAGATGCTAGAGATCATTGAGGTACCAGTGCTTAAAATCAGCAGGGGTAGATTGCTTTTTCCAGGCTTTTCACAGCTATTGAGTCAGTTTTGATACCAAAGAATGAGTTTTCCTGCCTAAAGCCTTGTCTTAAAGGTACCTGGTGTGCACTGTAGCTGTGCAGCATCATAGCTTGTGCCACCAGCTAACTGGGTCCCAGCAGAGCAGCAGTCCTGTCCCCTGCCTTGACCTGGGATTTTCCACCCATCCAACATTCCTGCTCTGGTACTTTGCTTTTCTTCTTGCTCCAGGCCATTTACAAGATGGTGGGGACTGTGATCATGATGAGGATGAACCAAGACGGGCTGACGCCCCAGCAGCGTGTTGACAAGATCTTCACAAAGATGGACAAGGACAAGGACGACCAGATCTCCCTGGAGGAGTTCAAGGAGGCAGCAAAAAGCGACCCCTCCATCGTTCTCCTCCTGCAGTGCGACATGCAGAAATAGAGCCCTGGGGGCTCATCGCTGGACTGGCCGCAGCCAACCTCTGCTCCCTGTGATGGTTTCCATCCCCATTTTCTGCTGATTCTCCCTCGTGCCCGCTTGGCCCCAGGCGTGAGCCACACTCCATCCCTCTTGCCACCCATCCGCCTCCGCTCCCGGCTGCGTCCTGGGCAGCCCACAGTCCGTGGGCTGTAGCTCTCCCTCGATGGGTAGAGCCTGCTCTGGGTATTGCTGGCTTGAGGTTACCCCCAAATCAACCCTCTCCCATCCTGGAGCTGGACTCCTGCAGCCAGTGGTGAGAGTTCTGGCTCCCCAGGGTCAACTGTTCCTACATCCCTGCTTTCTCCCTGCTTTCCCCCACTGCTCTGCCTGGCCCATTCCCAGATCCTAACTGAAACCAGCTCCTCCTCCTTTCTGCTGATCCCCCCCTCATTGCTTGTGATGTCTCCAGTGAGGCTGAAAAGTCCCAAATCCTGGTCCTGGTCTCTCCTTCATTGCAAATTCCCTGCAAAGCTGTCCAGAGGGTCCAGGGTTTGCCCCTGGGTGCTGGGGAGCTCAGGCAGGGTGCTGCACCTTCCCTGAGGGCTCGCTGCCTTGGCTCTCTCTGCCCAACTTTAGCTTTTCCACCTCTCCTTTTGCTGCCGGGAGCAGCCAGGATTGGCCAAGGGACTTTATGGGAGAGCAGAAGTGTCCAAGGCCACCCCTGGATCTGGCCAGTGTCTGATCTCAGAGAAGCTACCTTCCACCCCATCACTTTTGTGAGCTGGCAGAGCAAGTGGGTGACCACAACAGCCCTGGCAGCATCTTGGATGCTTTGTGCAGTTTCTGGCCTTCCTGGATCTTGAGGTGATGGCTTGGGGGGTCCTAAATTGAAGGCGGGGGTTGCCTGACTCCTCCACGGGCTTCCCTGGGGCAATGGTGGGATTGCGGGTGTTGAAGGCATGTCCTGGTGCCACTCCTGGTGTGTGGCACTACTGTGGGGACTGGTGGGTCCTGTACTGGGGCTGTGGAGAGGTGTGGATGGGTCCTGTACCTGCTGAGCCTCCTGGAAAGGCTCTGAGGCCACAAGAAACATGTCTGTCTCCTTCCTTCCCCCCCCCATCCCAGCCTGCTGCCTCCATCCCTCCTGCCCCAGGACAGGAATATTATCACAGATTGGTATTTAGTCTGCACGTTGTGGTGTTGATGACTGTAATATCTGTTAGAAGATGGTGAAGTTGTTATCTATTTTTTTAATGGAAAAATAAACTGTCCCCCATGTGTGGTGTTCCTTCCCGAATGGCTTAGTGGGGGGCAGCTGGTTGCTGCAACTATGGGGAGAGCAAGAGGACAACACTGCACTCCTGTGCATCAGTTACGGGTTTCATCTGAGCTTGTGACACTCCAAGGGATGGAGAAGACCTTGGGGACAGCACAGTGTGGCTCAGCCTGAGGAACCTTGAAGATGGGTAAAAGTATGACCCTTTAGCCATGCAGATAGCTCTGGGGAAGGGGGATGTTATCTCCTGGGTGTGGGTAGGACCAGACATCCCTGGTCTGTGCTGGAAATAGATTTCATTTATCGACCAGAAGCTTGACCCTGGCTGTGCCCTTCATTCAGGCCTGGGCAGAGCCAGAGGACCTGGTGGCTTTGTCCTGGGCCCCCATCCTAGCACCACTGGCAACTGGGACTGGTTATTACTATATCTTTGTCCTTCTTCTCAGCCTCCTCTTCTCCGCCCCCATCTTTTCCGCACATATTTTCCTCTGGCCTTTCTTCTCCATCAGCAGCCTGCAGAGACAGTGGCTGTTGCTAAGGAGCTCTCACCAACTTTAACTACTTCTCTGTAGTCAATCAGGCAGTGCTGGCTCCCGGCTGCGAGCCTGGCCATGCCGCGCTGCTCACCCCATCCCGCCTGGCTCCAGCGTGTGGGGACGTGTGTGACTTGGCTTCCACCCTGCAGATCACCAGCATCTCGTCTATCCTGCAGCAGCCAGCACCTGAGCACAGACATGGGAGGATGCCAAAACCACAGCAGCGTGTGTATTTTTAGGAGTGCCGCTGAGGGAGAACTCTGCACCTTGGGTTTGGCGGTCGTGCTCGCCTGGGCTGGCCGGAGCGTGCGTGTGGGGTTGCAGCACAGCAGTGCCTGGGGAAGGAGGGACAGGGCAGGTTGTCACCACTGTGTGGGAGCCTGGGGATGTGCCAGGGCTGCTGTCTGAAAGGGCAGCAACTTAAGCTCGAGAGGCGACTCAGAATAGCCTCTGTGATCCTGGGGCCTGCAAAGCTCCTGCTTTCCTTGGGGCCACCCAAGCTCACGTATTTCCCAGGAGAGATCTGCAAAGTCCCTGGGGAAAGGGAGTCTTTGATGAGGCTGAAATGATGATAAACTCCTAGAAGGGCATCCCAAAAGGTTTGGGATCCAGGCAGCTGGGTGAGCCCTGGAGCCAGCCCTGTTGACCGGCGCCCAGCTTCCCCTGGCTCTGCTCTCCTGGTTGAACCTCAGTGTGAGTGAGGTTGGGTTTGATCAGTCTCATGGGCAGCGACACGGGTGTCCCTGAGGCTGTGGTCTGTGAGGTCTGTAGGAAGAGTTGGTGTTTAGCTGCTGGCACAAAGCTTTGGGCAAAATCCTTCTGCTGGCCCCGGTGCTGGGGCTCTGTGACCTCCCAGATGCTGCTCTGTACCAGGTGAGACAAGGTGGGCTCCTCCATCGCTTGGCTCTTCCTGGCTGACCAGTTTTGGTCCCTGGCATACACTCCTTGCACCCCGAGGGCCTGGGGTGGGGTGTCTGCTGGTTATGGTGCAGTTTTCAGCCTGAGCTGAAAGCTAGGCTCTTTGCACAGTTCTGTGGTTGAACTCAATCCCACCAGCACCCAGGGAAGAACGTTTAGTGAAGAGCCTTAATTAATATCCACGCTCATTTCATTAACTAGCACCCAGGGCAGGTTACCCTGGCAGGGAGCAGAGCGTGAGTGTGCCTGTGACCCATCTCCTTTGGTCGTCCCCTCAAATTCCCCTCCGGTTCCTGGTGCCCACCCCTGTGCCCTCCCAGCTGCCCGGTCCCCTGGCACCGGTGTCACTCGGTGCTTTGCAAGGATGAGCAAACCCCAACGACCCCCGGGGCTCTCGGTCCACGAGCGAGCCGGTGTCACCCGTGGGTGCCCTGTCCCCTCCTGCTCCCGTGTCCTCCCGAACTTCTCTGCTGATGGCACCTTTCTCCCCCAGCCCCTTCCCTTCGCTCCCCGGGGTTTGCTGCCCCCGGGGCTGACTCTGCCCTGGAGCGGCTGCGGGGCGCTCCCGCCTCCATCCCCCCCCGGTATTTTGGGGAGGTGGCGGGCTGCGGCGACGGAGAGGAAAAGGCGGCGGGGCGGGCTCGGTCCCGAAGAGGTTAAACCGTGTCCCGGTGGGCTGAAACCCCGGAGCTTCATGGGATGCCTTATAAAGCGCGCTCCGCCGGCCCGGCAGCGGCTCCGGGAGCTCCCGGTACGTACGGAGCAGCCGCCGGTGCCCCGGAGCCGCCGCGCTATGGAGCCTCCCGGTACGGCCGGGGCGCCGGGCGCGGCGGGGCGGCCCTGGGAAGAAGCCAAGGCTTTCTACGACAACCTCGCCCCCAAGAAGAAACCCAAATCGGTGAGAGCCCCCGAGGTACCCGGCCGGGCGGTGCTTCCCCACCCCGGGGGGAACCGGCCCCTCTGGGCGACCCGTCTCCTCTGGGTGCCTGCCCCCCGCATGCCCCATCTCCTCCGGGTCTCTCCGGGTACCCCATCTCCTCCGGGTGCTCTGGGGTCCCCCTGGGTGTCTCCGGTTCTTCTTTGCCCCCTCCCGTCTCCAGATCCTTGGGGAAGCCCTGGGTCTCTCCAGGTGCCCCAACTCCATGGCATCCCTTGGTGGCCTGGGGTCTCTGTGGGTTCCTGCAGGTCCCTGGGGTGTTCCCGGGTCCCCCCCCCCCCGCCGGGCTGAGATGTCCTTGCAAAGCGGCTCTGTGCCCCATGAGCTGCCTGTCCCCTGCGCCAAGGCGGGAGGCCCTGCCAGCGACAGGAGGGGTGGCCGTGGCGGAACAGGGGGACAGCCCGGGGGCCCGATCCCTGCCCCGGGGCAGCGGGGTGTCGCAGGGGGGACAGCCGCCCCTGCCAGGCTCGCCTGCTCTGGGAGATTAGAAGGAAAGTCTGTGTTATCTAAACCAGGGCTGAGCCCGCTGGGTTTAAACATGGGAGCGCTCCTGGAAGCGCTGCTGGATCTCAGAATAGCTGCGGCAGCCTGCGAGCCCACCCAGCTGTCGCCATCCTCGGGGCTGTGGGTCCCCCCCAAAGTGTGGGGCTCCGGCAGAGGTGCTGCCCACGGCGAGGTCGGGAGCCCGGTGGCAGCCAGCACCTTTCAGGGCAAAGCTCTGCGTGTGACCTCTCCGGCAAGGGGAGATGGCCAAGTCCTGCTCCGTGGACCCCAGCTTGGAGCAGCCCCCGTGGTTTCCCCACTGGGGACCCGGCTGCAGCCCCTGGTCCTGCACCCGCTGCCAACTGGCAGCGCTGCTGCCTTTGCCCTTCCCGGAGGAGAGGGACAGCCTGGCTTGGTGGTGGGATGTGGCTGGTTGTCTTTCATGCCATGCTTTCAGCCTCCTGCGGATGTCAGCCCAAGCTCCTCCTCTTCCTCTCCTTGCAGCGAGCTGGGTGACCAGCACGCCAATCTCTGCTGTACAGCTGGGGAAACTGAGGCACGGGGCAGTGATGGGATTTGCTTGCACAGCAAACCAGCAGCAGAGCTGAGATCCAGCCTCTCAGGCCCTGAAGTTAGGCTGTGCCATCCACCCGCATGGGACCGGGGACGATGCCTGCGGTGCCTGCCCGGCCCCGTGCCCCTCGGCTGGGGCAGGCTGGGGGCCCCGTGCCCGTGGCCAGGCAGCTCGGCTGCCCTCGCACACAGCTGGGCTGCCCTGCCCTGCCAGGCAACTGTCACACCTTGTGATGGATGGCTGCAGCGCGCTTTTCTGCATTATAAATCATGTGTTTGGAAAACTCAAAAATATCTCAGCCGTCGCCCTGAACTTTAATCTGATTCCGAGCAGGGGGCTCGCAGACGCCCAAGGCTCCCTCATGCACGAGGGCGATGGAGTTCGCTGTTGTCCGTCCGCGCCCTTGTGGGTGCAGGGTCTGTCTGTCCTCTCGGCCAAATGTCTCTGCCAGCCAGAGCAGGTACCGGTCGGGGAGCAGGCGCAAGCTGTGGGGGCTGCCCCTTCCTCTAAACGGGGCTGTCAGATGGCAGGAGGCGGGGTGATTTTGGGGAGCATTTTTGGGGAGACCATTCCTGGCTGGGTGGTGGGTTAACAGGGTGCCCTTGCAGGCCAGGGGCTCCCCACTTTGCAGGGGTCTCCGCTCTTCCCACGCTCCAGCTCCCATGGTTGCTCTGGCCTCGCTCCTGCCAGCTGGGGAGGTCAGCGATGAGATTTGTCACTCTTCAGCAATGCGGAAAATGTCCCCCAGCCTCTCCAGTGACGCCGCGCTGGGTCGGTGGGAGCTGGCCTTCTGCTAGCTCCACTCTTCTGGGCACCCTGCTCGTCCCCTGCTCTGCCACTCCCTGCACACATGGGGACCCATCCAGCTCACCAACGTGCCTCAATTTTTGGGATGCTTTAGCTGGGGTGGGGACCATGCCTGACCCTGGAGCAAGCCCTTCCTCTTCCCTTTCCGTGACTAAATCTCACACCAAAATTTACTTCCAAATTTTGAATTTGGCCACAAGAATTTGGTCTTCTGCAGCATCCAGGGAAGTGCCCGGAGTTGCCAGAGTTCCCCCAGTTTTTTAGGATGGAGGTGGGTTCATCAGATTCAGCCCCAGGCAGTGCAAAAGGATCAAGGGGTGCAGAATGGGGTCCCCACTGTGGCTGCTGCCTCCGAGCCAGCCCGCGATGGCCTCCAGGGGTGGCAGTGAAGCCGCTCGTGTTGGGTGCCACCGTGGTTCTGGTAGGGGGGAGGCCATGGCCCCACTGCACATCCCAGGATCCTGTGGGATTTCCAGATATCTGCCTCTAATCCTTGGGGGGCTGCTTAAGATTTACATCCGATTAGGAGGGTGATTTAAAGGCCTGCCAGCTGTTGAGTCACCAGACAAAAATGTGCCATTTCCAGTTACTACTGGAATATGTCTTTACCCCAAAACTGAGGTGTTTGGCTCTGGGATGGGTTTTGTACTTCATGGAGTCAGACCCTGCTGGAGAGATCACTTATGCTTCTGAGATGGGGTTTGGACCTCGTGGACCGCCTTATGCTGTGCCAAGGGCTGATAATGTTCTTCTTCGGAGGGCTGGGCTGTCAGGATGTGGCCCTGGTTGTCCCCCCTGCCTGGCTGAGCCTGGGGATGGACCCAGGGTTGGGGTGAGACCTTCCCCCGTGCTGCCCTGCTCACGTTTCTGTCAAACATGTCATTAATCTCTTGCTTGATGTTCAGGATGGGGCTGGATCTGACCTTTCTGTGGGAAAGGAGGAAGAGAGAGGAGTTCAAATTCAGCTGGGTTCAGCTGAGCAGAGCCCCACAGCTGCTTCCTGGGCTTGTGTTGGATGATGAGTTTTAATTGACCTTGGCTGACCTTGGCTGCTGCTCTGAGGGTAAAATAGGGTTTGTCATTCAGAGTGCCCAAGCCCACTGGGGCTGGGACAGCTGGAGCAGGAGGCTGTGTTGGGATGGGGTGCTGTGCAGGCTCCACAACAGCTTGTGGGACTAAATGCATCCTGACAAGGCCTGCAAATGGGACCCCTCCCACGCACACGCTTCCTGTTAAAAATGAAGGGTGTTTTTCCCCAAAATTGCGATGTTTCAAGTCAAAATGGAGCTTCTTGGGTTGTTCACAGCGCTCTGATGGAGGCTTTGAGGTGCTGTGGGTCCTTTAGTGCCGTGACTTTTTAAAGCCTGTTTTTGAATGTGGTAATGATCATCTGCAATACTAGTAGGGATGGAGAAGCATCCAAACAACCTTGAGGAGGGAACGCTCCCAAATGAAACCACCGCTTCAAAGAAATGTCAAAATGCAGCTCCCTCACAGAACAGAATTGCCTTTATTTTTTTAAATGTCAGCATTTCTCAGATAACAGCAGGGCTGTTCCAGCCCAGCTGGAGCTGGGAGCTGCGTTAGCGCCCAGGTGAGAGCAGAAAGTGCTCCAAAGGTGCAAATCTTCCTTGGCAGGAGCAAACAGGGTCCGGCAGGTCCTATTCCTGGAGGCTAGGCTTCCTGCCTGCAGGCAGCTGGGGCTCCAGCAGCCCACGCTGGGGCAGAGTTAGGCCCCAAGTTTACAGTTATTTTTATTGCTGTGTTTATTACCTCTTAAATTAACCTCCTGGAGGCTGGTGCCTTTAAATGGCAGGGAAGGAACCTTGAGCAGCCTGTTGCCGTTGCGCAAGGTGCCAGTGCTCTTGGCACCCGCCCGGTGCAAAGGTGTGTTCCACGGGGAGATAGAAATGCAAATTCGGGCCGGACACCTGCCCAGGCTTGGCTTATGTCCCCACACACGCATGTCACCCCCTTGAACACGCCTCTGTGCTGTGTGTGCTGCTGACCTACTTTCTCTGCCGGGGATCCTCCTGCACGGCTGGCTGTGGAGGATGCTCTGCCCTGTGGTCTGTCGGGGACCAGGACCAGGGAGCAAACCCCCGGCAGCTTTCTTACATACCCAGATAAATAACCCAGCTCTGCAGGGACTGGGGGGCAGCACGGAGCAGCAAGGCTCCTTGCTGAAGGCTAATGGCCAGATGTCCCAAGACCTTTAATAGTTATTAATATTTTCAGCTAATAAATGGCCCATGACACCAGAGTTATTAATTAATGAGTTGGAGTGCCAAGACTTGGCCCATGACAAGTTAATAGCTAACACCCACTGGGTAGCTAAATGTAAGATGGGGACCTGGCTGTGGTTCACGTGTGGGAGTGATGCTGGTGTCGCTGATCAGCCTTTTGCGTGGACTTGGGTGATCCTGTGTGTCCTGGGGGTTGTTCACCTGCTTTCTCAAGAGCCACTCCCAAAGGGGACCTTATTTCTCTGCAAATGCGGCGGAAAAGGGTTCCCTCTGGCCACAGTGATGTTCTCAGCCTGTGCTAATCTGTGTTGAGTCCTAATTGCCCACTGCTTAATCTGTTTGCTGGGGATTTTGGGTACTGCTGCAGCCTTGGAGGGGTGGCTGGGACCCACCGTGTTGCAGGGCTGGCCTTGGGCACTGCTTACAGGGGGGGTGCGGTGCTGGGAATGGGAGGGGGGCTGCCATTGACTCATTCCTGGGTGCGTCTCCATGCTGGGCAGGATCAGCGGGGCCGGGATGGGGGCAGAGCGAGCCCCAGGGCAGGCCCAGCCCTGCGGGGAGCCAAGATCCCCGATGAGGATGGGGTTCCTTGTCCTCGCCAGGCTGCTGTTTCTGTAAAGCTCAGCCTTAGGCAGGGTGGGAGCTTGAACTTTGGAGCACCTGGGTGTGCAGAGGAGCTGGCAAAGGCGCCCGCCTGCCCCTGGGCAAACAGCGTTGCCGGAGGATTACTCACGGAGCAACATGCTACCCAAGGATCCTGGAAATCACAGAGGAGCTGAGGTGTTTCTGAAGTGCTGACTGGATTTCACAGGCTCCCTGCGGAAACGCATCCCTGAGCACAGCCAGGGGGTGTGTGGGCTGGGACTGCTCCCAGTTCCCGGGGAGCATGCCCTGTGTGAGCCCCCAGGCAGAGCCTGCTGGGGACAGGGCTGCCTACGCCACTGCCCCTCCTTGGGATTTGCTGTTCTGGGAGCGAGGATTTCTTGTTGGCCATCAGTAATGAATTTGCTTTCATGCTTGCGAGTGAGTGATGGGGATTAACACCCTTCCGCCCGCCATGAGAGAGGGCAGAGAGGTGAGGGTCAAGACGAGATTGTCTTTCCTGGTGTCCCCTCTCTCGCTGTCAAGTCCCACTAGAGAGGCCCCTTGTTGACTTCAGTGGATTTTGGATCAAGCTCTTGAACATTAATAATAATGACTCATAAATCATTGCTTGCGCCACCTGTTTGTCATGTTTCCGCCCACAATAACTATATCAAGTGTTTTTATAAGCTGAGCTGGCATGGGTTGTTTGTCACATCTGGACAGCATCGTGGGAGCGCGGATCCGGCAGAGCTGCAGTGTGTGGTTTTTCCTGGCTGGGGGGTTGAAAAGCCACACAAATTCCTTCTGCATGGGGTTGAGTGGTTCCCCTGGGGTAGCACATTGGGTCTGGCTGGATCCTGGGAGCCTCTCTGCAGGGGGAGGGCTTGGGGATGGTGCGAGCTGTGGAAAAAAGCTCTCGAGTATCCTGAACGTGTGGGGACAGTGCGTCAGGGCTCGCCTGTTGAAACGTTGGAAGATCAGGGTTGCAGCTGCCCCATCATCCTCCAAATCGCTCTGGAGGTGTCACCCACCCCATGGCCTTCCATGTTGAAAGTTAACAGATGCCTTCTGGAGCAACGGGGCTGGGTGCAGGGGCTGCCTCCCCATTTTCTCCCTTTCCCTGCAGCCAAAGCCTGAGAACGCCATCACCATCGCGGTGTCATCGCGAGCGCTTTTCCGCATGGAGGAGGAGCAGAAGATTTACAACGAGCAAGGGGTGGAGGCCTACGTGAAATACCAGCTGGACCATGAGAACGAGCCCTTCCTCCCTGGGGCCGCCTTCCCCTTTGTCAAGGTGAGCATCCACCCGCCTAAGCTGAATCTGCACTGCGGTCCTGACCCAAAAGTTTTGGGGAGAGGGGAGTGCTGTGGGGTGCTTGTGTGGGGAAGGGATGGGGAATGAGCAGTGTGGCAGAAGGGATGTAGCCACAGGGCAAACAGAGGTCAAATAAACCTTCTGGCAAGTGATGTGCTTCTTCCGGGACTGAGGAAACACGGAATTTTCCAAATTGGCAACTGAGCCCAAGAATTGAAGAAATCATCTTTAAAGTTTCCATTTAGGGAATTCTCATATCTTTTTTATTATTATTCTTACAATTTATTTATTCTTTTAAATTGGCTGAATTTAGTCTTGCTACAGCGTTGGCCAGTTTCTCATTTTGACATGTTGAAATGAGGCACTTCAAACTTTAAAAATATTTTCCAATTTCTGCCCCAGTTTTGTGTGCTGGCCCTCACTGAAAGCAATCTCTTGCCCATTCCCAATGAATAAACTAATCCACTTGTTGGGGAGAGACTTGTTCTGTCTGATTCCTTGAAAAACACTTGTCTGTAACTTTGAGCTAACTTATTCTCATATCCTAGTGAAAATTTGAAATTTGTTGTGTTTGAAAATAGAGTGGTTTGTTTTTTGTTTTCTGTTTGGTTTTTTTTTTTTTTTTTTTTTTTTTCCCCCAAATCAAATCTTTTTTTTATTCTCAGTTAAAGCTGCTTGCTGATGTCAGCTTGGCTCAGGGTGTAGTTGAGGTTGGGCCAGGTCCCTGGTTTTGGTGAACAGCAGTGTTTTGCTCAGTGAGAAGGGGGTCAGGGCCATGCCTGGGGCTCCCTGACACCCACCCCCTCCTCGCCCTGGGGTGCTGCAGGCGCTGGAAGCGGTGAACATGCAGCTGCGTGAGCTCTACCCCGACAGCGAAGAGCTCTTTGACATCGTCCTCATGACCAACAACCATGCCCAGGTTGGGGTTCGCTTGATCAACAGCATCAACCACTACGGTAAGCTGAGAGCAAAGCTGTCCTTTGCGTGGTGCCAATGGCTTTTGGGCAGAGTGTTATTGCTTGGCAGCAAGAGAAGGAGATGCTTTCTCCTGTCTCTTCCTCCAAACAACACGCTGAGCCCGCTTCTCCCAAATTTCCTGTGCTTGAGTGGAAGTTGGCTGGTGGGGAGGATGCTCTGGCTGCCAGTCATGCTGTTGAACAGCAGTACCAAAATTGGCTCCCGTCCTGCCGACCCTTGGGAGGCCACAGGAGAGCAGCGTCAAGGCTTGTTTGGGGGGGCAGTCAGGCTCACCCTGGGGTCCATCTCCCCTCAGATCTGTTCATCGAGAGGTTCTGCATGACGGGAGGGAACAGCCCCATCTGTTACCTCAAGGCCTATCACACCAACCTCTACCTCTCCTCTGACGCCGAGAAAGTGAGTGGGGCCATTGAAGAGGGTGAGTCTGGGGTCCAGCTTGTGCGTGGGGGGGGACAGCGGGGGGAGCCTGGAGCCCTCAAGGAGTTGGTACCAGGAGTGATAATTCCAATGTCCCTGTGTCGATGTGCAACTAGGGTCTGCCTTGTCCCACATCCCCTCCTTGTTGCTCCAAAGAGCCTCTAATTTCCATTGAAATAAGGCTTTCCTTGAGCTCCACAGCTCTTCCAAGGCAAGGGCACTGTTTTTCCCCGTTAATTCTTGTATGCAAAGGGAGGTTTGTCATCTGGGGATTTGTTTTTGCTGTAAAAGGTCTTGGGGCCAAGCTGCAGGCACTACTGGATGCGTGCACTTCCTTGCAGTGTTTACTTCCAGCCCATCGTGTTTTGCTTTGCTCCTCAACAGATAAGTGATGAGGCCAGGTCCTTGGGTAACTGCCGTCTCTTGCCTCACACTTTACCTCCACAGGGATCGCCGCAGCCACCATCTTCAGCCCCAGCAAAGACCTGGAGGTGTCGGAGAACCAGCTGCGGGTGGCGTTTGATGGTGACGCCGTGCTCTTCTCTGATGAGTCGGAGCAGATCGTGAAAGCTCACGGCTTGGACATGTTCTTTGAGCATGAAAAGGCTCACGAGAACAAGCCTCTGGCGCAGGTAGTGCTGGGGTGCAGCCAGGAAAAGCTTCTGGGAGCGAGACAGCCCGCAGGGATTCTAAGAACAAGCCAGGGGTCGGTGTGGAGTGGGTGGGGTGGGGTGGGTCAGCAGCCCACGGGAGGGCTGTGGCTGGCCCCTTGCTGTTGTTTCTGGGGGCTGACAGGGAGAAGGCGTTAGCCAGTACGTCTGGCTATGCTGGGTCTGTGTGCCTGGAGGGAAGGGGCAGCACGGAGGGTCTGCAAAGTTTCTTCTTGCTTTGGCAGGGACCCTTGAAGGGCTTCCTGGAGGCCCTGGGGAAGCTGCAGAAGAAGTTCTATTCCAAGGGGCTGAGGATGGAGTGTCCCATTCGCACCTACCTGGTCACTGCCAGGAGCGCGGCCAGCTCGGGAGCCCGGGCTTTAAAGACTCTGCGCAGCTGGGGCCTCGAGACGGATGAGGCTTTGTTCCTGGCTGGGGCTCCCAAGGGGCCGCTGCTGAAGAAGATCCGTCCTCACATCTTCTTTGATGACCAGATGTTCCACGTGGAGGGAGCCAAGGAGTTGGGCACTGTCGCTGCCCACGTCCCCTACGGCGTCGCCCAGAAGCACAAGCGGCCGGCGCAGGAGAAGCAAACCCCGAACAGCAAGTAGAGGAGCTGGCTGGTCCCCCGGCGAGCGGCACAGACCTCACCCTGTGCGCCACGCTCTGACCTGGGTTGGGGTCTGCGTGGCAGAGAGCATTTGCCCTGGCGAGCACGAGGTGGTTCCCCAGCAGGAGCCCTGTCGGGGGTGGGGGGCACGGATGGAGGAGGGGGCTGATGAAAGGCTTCCCTTCGCCTCTGACTTCATTGCGATGTTGTGGTGTTGTCCCGGTTCCCTCTGCACTTGCTTCAGGCAAAATTCCTTGAGAATGGATCTCGCCTTTTGTGGACTGTTTTTGCCAGGCAGGTTTAACCTATTGGCATTTCTTTAAAACCCCAGGTAATTCCCAAAGCCTTTGATTTACAAAGCAAATGTTCAGGCTGAACTGTTGAACTGGAAAGTTGGGAGCACACAAGAACCCTTCTTACAGCTTTGAAACAAATTGTTGTTTCTTTTAACTAAAATTAAACCATAATATTGTTCCTTCACAGATCCAGTCCCTGCTCCCCAACCAGAAAATCTTTCATGTCTTTGTCCTTTCACCAAAATTTTGCCAGCTGAACAGCTTTCCTTTCATGCACTGAGATTTGGAAAAATAGAACCAAACAGTAATATATGTTAAAAAAAAAAAAAAAATCCTATTTCCTGCTTGGAGTTTTGGGCTTGTGTATTGTTGGCCCAGGTTTTTAAATTTGGGTTTCACAGTTGTATGAGTTAGCACTTAAAAATAATAATCTCAGTGAGGCATCCAAAGCCCAGCTCTTGTGTGAGCCGTCCAGGGTCCGCAGACACATGCCTAGGGCTTGAATTAAGTTAAAAGCAGGCCCTAATATATTAGGGGCATCATTTGAAGTCCATTTAGCTAAATCTGCAGAGAATTTCAGCCTGGGGGTTTTAATTAAAGGATTTTTATTTTTTTTTCCCCCTTTCTAGGCTGAGTCCATATAAGTTGGTAATCTTTTTCTCCTCAGCTGCTTAAAAGCTCTGATGTTTCCTAAAATAGACACCTTGGCTAGTGATGCTATGAGAGAGAACCAAATATCTGATTAAAAAACAGGAAGAGAAATCATTTGGAGAGCTGCTCCAAAATGGGTGTGAAAATCACACTGACATTTCTGCACAAAGCCCTGTCCTAAAGGACACACTCAGGAGAAAAATTTGAAGATTACTTATTTCTCGTGTTTTTTTTTTTATTTTATTTTATGTATTTATTTATTTTAGGCAGTACAGCCCGTGGTTGGGCACAAAGGATGCCCAGTGTTATCAGATAATAGTTTTCTACAAACACCAACTCCATGGGCTGAAGTTTTGAGGTATGTGTCTGCTTCTGGCTTAATGCTGCAGGGAGGTTTCAGCTAAAACAGCTCAGCCCTTCCCGACAGTAAGACTAGAGCCTGAGTTATTGCACTTTTGACGAATATATAAACATGCTAGTGATGCCTTCAGTGGCTCAGGAGACTGTTTTCTCATTGTGCTAAATCCTGCAATAGCAGTGAAAAGTAGATTGCACTTTCCCCACCCCCAAAAACTATTTCACTTTGACAGACTGTTATTTGTCACATCTGGGTGACAAGTACCTTAGAGGAAGATCTAAAATCCAAACAAAAAAAAGTCTTGAAAGAAATTAGTATCTCAGTAACACATCTATTAATACACAGGTTTATAAAAAGGCCTCATCTTTTGAATGTGAACCCTGGATATTGGAATCTGAACTGTATCTCAGAGACTTCTTTGACAGCTGGGAGGGGGAGAACAGCCTGCCCTTCCAAGTAAACATTTCCAAGGTGTTTTCTGAAGATCTCATCATGGAAGCCCAGCCAAGCCCAGCTTGCAAATGGGCTGCACTGGGGCCTCCCACCAGCCTGGGGGGGAAGAGGGTTGTCAGCAAGCCCTTAGGAAATCCTGGCCAGGGCAGGGTGCTGGTGGCATCGGATACAGGGTGCAAGCGCAGCCCCTGGGAAGGGGTGCTTGCACTGGGTGCTGGGTGGGATGCGTGCTTCGGATGAGGGGTGCTGGCAGAGCTGGGCTGTGCAGGAGGAGATGCCCTGTCTGAAGGTGCTGTTAGCTCCTGGGAAGCAGTGTGTTGTGGTTTTGGGGCAGTGCCTTGGATCTCAGCAGCGTTCGCTGCTGCCTTTCCAGGCCCTGAGATGCACAAGGAGCTGGGTGCAAGCTGGGGGGCAGGGGCACGGTGCAGGCAGGAGTTTTTTGAGACTCTGCCTACGGTCCTCCTGCTGACAGGGCAGCTTAGGGGCTCGCTGTGAGACATGGGGCTCGGGAAATGGACCCCAAGTGAGGTAGACCTCCCTTTGCACCTCCTGAGTCCTTCCTGCGTGGGGAGGATTTTCCGTTCCTGCGATGGCTGCCCCCTTTGCTTTTACCAACACGGCTTCTTACTTTTTTTTTTTTTTTTTTTTTCTCCTCCATCACTACAACTAGCAGATGTGGATTTGCTGCTTGTGTACTTTCCTCTTGTGCCCAGCCGTGACATCCCCCCGGGTTGGGGCAGCGATGTGGTCCCCAGGACTGACTGCATGGGCTGGGCACATCTCCCACCCTGATGGGCCAGTGCAGTTGTGCCTCTTGTGCTGCGCTGGCCAAAGACTGGACTTTCCTGCTGTGTGTTGTTGCTGTGGGGTTTGCTTCATTGTCCTCCAGCGGTTTTTCTTGTGAATGGACTGCCATGTTAATGAAATCCCTCCAGGTGTTTTTCGGTAATAAACTGTGTTGGTCTCAGCCTGGCTCTCTCTGTTGCCGTTCTCACAGTGGGTATTTTGGCTTCCTCGTGCAGCCAGAAAAAGAGTCTGGGGTCCCTGGTGAAGGGATGGGGGTAACAAGAAGGAAAAGGGCCTTTTGGGATCTAAGGGAATTCAGAAAATATGATAAAAGCAGCTACCTGGGAATTGGAGACCTCTGGAAGAGGTGGGATTCCAGAGTTGAGAGATGTGCTGTGATACAGCTAGCTCCCTGTGCTTTGTGAACAGGCTTTTATTGTAACCTGGACTCGTGATGAAGTCCTGGATAAAAATACAATTTGGCAGAAGACTTTTGTCAGCTTGATCTTCTCCCAGCCAACAGGTGGGAGGCAGCATAAGCTTTTTAGAGGAGATTTATTGCTGTTGAAGTACCGGGTTTATCCGAATAGTGACACTGCAGTTCTGGTGTTAGCTCCTCCCCGCCTATAAGGAGAACAGATGGGTTAAGGGGAAGCAACAAATTCTCCATCCGTCACCAAATATAGCCAAGGAATGTCCATAGGCCCCAGGGCAGCATGTCTGCTATGGGTGTTAGTTTAAGGGACCCGTGGCCCTCAGCAGAGAGTATTCTTGTGCAGCCTTGCTTGCTGGAATGCCTTCCCCTGGCCCATCCCCGATCCTGCATGTTCTTCTACCAGATGCCTGGAGGAAAAATCAAATTCCAGCACTGATAAGGCTCGTGTTGCACCAGTGGAAGTCCAGGTGGGCCCACCTAGCCCTGGAAGGTCAGGATGTCCATGCCAAAGCCAAGAGCTGCCTCTAATGTTCACGCAAAGACCATCCTGCGTCCTTGACTCACTCTTGGGGTCCAGGGTTGGGACGGGGGCCAAGGAGCCAATGGATCTTGGAGAGACACGGGCCAAGGCCATGCAGGGAGGGAAGGGAGAGGTTTGTGTAGTTGGGTCTGTGATGTCTTGTCATTGGTTTGCTGTAAGCCTGAGTTTTTGTTTCTGTTGCCTGTTTTCTGAGCTTTTTCCTCATCAGACATCGAAGGGCTTTGCAATGAGTGTGCTTTAAAATAAAGAACATGGAGGAGGAGAAAGCGGAGGCAGAGCTGATGAAGAATTATGCTGCCACTCAGCTATTGTCAGCGCAGATGTTCACAAGGTAATCATGGCCTTTGAATAGCAAGAAGTGCTTTTCATGACAAATTCCGGATTTAACCCCAAGAACTTGTGGGGCTTCTTGGTAAGGGTGTGACACCCCTTACCAAGGGTGTGACCAGCTGCATGGCAGGGAGGTTGGGCAGTGTGTGGGCTCTGCTCTCCTGGTACATAGGGTAATTCATGACACTTCCCTGACTCAGTTTCCCCATCACCATAACAGAGATCAGAATGATCCAGAGGTAATGTCAGATCTGGAGGATGACTCCAGCTCCTTGCAGGAGAAAAGCAGAAATCCAGGAGTGCTCTGAAGTGCAGGAAGCCCACATACCTCTGCAGTGATGCCTGCACAACCAGCAGCAGGTCCCAGTGTGTAGGGGCCACGCAAATAAAAGGCTGCCTCGACAACCTTGTGGTGTTGCCCATGAGGGGTTCCAGGCTGCACTGGCAGGGACTCTACCTTGCCCCTGCAGTGTATTTCATTTTATGTTCTTTCTGGAGTGCAGAATAGGGGCCAAACGATGTGAGCAGGGACCTGCAGCCATCCCAGCAGGCTAAAATGTCAGGGCAGGAGACCTGGCGACAGAGTGACAGAAACACCCAGAGTTGGAAGAATAGATAAGAGGACCTGGCGGCAAGAGAACAAGCAAAGGCCACTTGCTATCAGTGCTAGCGGGGCCATGCCAGGATTTGAACAGCCTGACCATCTCGTTCCTTTGACACCGCTATTTATAGCAGCGTTCGTTGATGCCTCTGTCACCGGAGCCTAAAATGGTTCCCCTGCGTGCACCCGGGGCGGCTGGGCTCACTCATCCCGTGCTGGGGAGGCCACCAACGAAGCAGTGACTCAATAGAGCGTGTGTGAAGCCGCTCATCGCCCCGCTGACGGAGGAAGCCAGCGTCTCCCTCTGCCAAGAGGCAGCTCCACGCTGGGCCAGCTCCTTGGAAGATGCACCAGACGGTTTCTGTTTAAGCCCTGGCCCCTCGCCAGAAAGAGTCAGTGGGGTAAACAGACCCACCTTCCACCCCGCTTCTTCTTTCCCCCCAGAACTGGGGCTGGTCCGGCTCTGTCTGGGAGCCAGCGGTTTCCACAGCTTGATGTTGGTCCTTAAGGTAGCAGTGGGGATAGCTCTGTGTATTACCCACGCTGGTGGAAATAACCCTTTGGTTACTGGGTTGGAGCAAAGTGCAACAGGGCAAAGATCTTGTAACTGCAGAGCAAATATGCCCCGTTCCCTGCCTGAAGATTTGCCTTTTAAAAAATTGCTTCGTTTTCACAGTTCTGTCCAGGCCAGTGAGCGATGGAGGTGGAGATCAATCTGTCCTGGCGTTTTCCCATTCCTGCAGTGAAAGCTCTGTTACCAGGGCTGCACTTCAAAGCTTTGCTGGCAGCGAAGTGCCGGATAGGACTGTGCACATAATCCCACCGAGGAGGAGAGGAGGGGGTCTCCGCGGCCCTGTGGCTACAGATGCCAGGCAAGTATGGCTGTACCCACCAGGGAGCGATGGCCAGCCTCATGCTGCTGTGAGCTTGGCACAACCGGTGCCAAATTTTCTGACGGAATGACTTGAGAGGAGATGGACATTAGTGTTTAAAAGAAATATACAAATAAAACCCTTGGGGCTGGCATCCAGCAGTCTTGCACACAGGAGGGGACTTTTGCTTGTTTTCTCTTAGGGCAAATTGCATCCTTATCTCTTCTCCCTGTGGCAAAAAGATGACGCAGAGCCCAGGGCCGGCTCTCAAATTTTAAGCTTTACTTGGTGAGAGCTCATCTCCCGCCAGTCGGCAGTACCCCCGAGCTGCCCCGCAGCTGGAACTGGTCCGCGCTCGTGCCGCGGCTGTGTCCTTGTCACCATGGCCGTCGGCAGCGAGCAGGGAGCCACGGTTTCCTCCTTGAGATAAAGCAAACCAGTGGTGTTGACGCCGTCCCCCCCGAAACAGGGACCGCTTCCAGTCACAACCACCAGACCACCCGCCTTATTAAATGCTGCCGAGAGGCAGCAAAGCCCTGAGCGAGGACTGGCAAAGGCTTTATCTGAGGAATTCTGTGAGAAGGAGGATAAATGAGGGAAAATTTGCTTTAATTGCCCTGTAAGGGAAACCAAGCTCCACCGGCCCCGCGCGGTGCTTGCTTTTGGGCTGCATCTGTCGGGAATTTGTGCATGGGTGGAAGCGGTCGTGCGTGCTGGAAATTCATGCCCGTCCTGGCAGGGATGCGTTTACCCCGGGGAATGGTGGGCCCGTTTCTGCCACCACAGCCGCGGGGACGGGGACAGCTGTGGCGCCGAGTGGGTGCCCCGAGAGGGCGTGAAGGGCTGCGCGGCACGGCGGGAGGGTGCGATGGTGGTGGGCGTCCCCCCTCGCAGGTGTTCTTCGTGAGCTAACGTGCTCCCTGTGGCATCGCCGCCTTCCACAGTGCTGCCTGTTGCTCCTTCCCCTTCAGGCGTGTGTTTGGGGAGCGTGTGAGCGGGCACCTCTGCCTCAGCACAGCGCTGGTGGCCATCTTAGCCCTCAGGCTGTCCCCAACCCACCACCTCATGGGGTATGTCCTCCATGGGGAAGGGCAGCTGCTTGAAGCCCACCAAGCTGGGAACGGAGAGGTTTTCTCCAGTGCCAGCTCCGGCATGGGGCACCGTGTCCATAAGCGCCAGGGTGGCACTGAGGTGGAGCCGCCATCTTGGGCACTGTGTTGCTGAGGCGGTGCCGCCATCTTGGGTGCCACAGCAGGGCGGCCATCTCGGGCACCATGGCAAGGCGGCCATCTCCTCAGGCACCTCGTCACCCGGGGTGACCAGGCTGTGGGTGACCACCCCGCACGGCACGGCCGGGGCCATGGGCGCTTTTCCTGCTGGCTGTATAAACAGGCCCCCGCTTCCTCGGCGGCCGGGCGGCCTCCTCCAGGTGCGGCTGGGAATCATTAGGAGCTCTCCGCGCCGAGCTGAGTGTGGGAACTGGAAGAGAAAGCTGGAGAGAGGCCTTCTTTCATCTCCCCACTCCCTCCTCCCCCTGTGTCTGCCAAGCCTGGCTTCCTTTTGAATCCTTTAGCTTGTGCCAAGCGAGGGAGAAGGAGGGGGGGGGGATAAAGAAAAAAAAGGAAGAGAAAAAAAAAAAAAAAAAAAAAAAAACCACAGGAATGTGTCCAGGGATCTGGCTTCATTCAGGCTGCTGAGCCCTGAATACCCCGGCTCCTGCTCGGGGAGCCGCAGGGAGGGAGGCCGCGGCCGCCCCCGTGACGGAGGCAAGGGGAAAACAAACAGGGAAGCGGCATTTGCGCCGCGGCCGTTACCACAGTGACTGACAAAGGGCTGTCTGGGAGGGGGCCGCGGCCGCGTCTCGCCCCCCGCCACGGGGCTGGGGAGGCGGGAGCGCCGGGTCAGGGCGCCCCGGGTCCCGCCGGGGGGGCAGCGGGGGCTCTCGGCGTCTGGGCGAAGCCCGGCCCGCGTTTCATCCCGGCATGGGGACGTGGTGCCCAGACAGACGCCCTTGTGTCGGGGCCCTGTCTCTGGGTACAAAGGCGACAGGGCTGCTCGCAGGGAGGGCGCGAAGGGGGCGGGTGGGCGGCTTTTCTGCGGCGCTTCGGGAGGATGGGGTTTTTTGACTCGCTGCCGGCTTTATTCCCGGCAAATTAATGATTTCCTCTCGTGGCAACAACGCTGGCCTGCGTGTGCCGGTGTCTCCCACTGCCCTCCCAACCGCGCTTCCCCACCACCCTGTCCCCGCCGTGCATGGAGGGTCCGCGCCGCTCGCAGCGGACTTCCTCCATCCTTGTCCTCAGCTGGGCTTCTTCCAGCTGTGCATAACTGTCAGATTTGGCCCAGCTGTGACGGCCGCTGCCTTGGGATCATCCTGGCGGGAGCACCGGGCTGGGCTATG